TGATGCCAGGTTCATGGGATCAACCCCTGCCACACTTGCTCACTCACTATCTCTCTTAAAAAAAAAAAAAGTTAAATTTTAACACAAAATGGATTTAAATGTAAAAGCTAAAAGTATAAAGCTCTTAGAAGAAAACAGAGGAGATTTGGATTTGGCAATGATTTCTTGGATAGGATACCAAAAGCATAGGCGCAACAGTAAAAATGGATAAATTGGACAACAATAAACATTAAAACTTCTGTGCATCAAAAGACACAATCAACAGAGTGAAAAGGCCACCTACAGAATGAGAGAAGATATTTGCAAACCATGTATCTAATAAGGGGCTAATATTTACCATATGTAAAGAACTTCTGCAACTTAACAACAGCAAAGACAAAACAGCCCAGTTAAAAAGTGGGCAAAAGGAGGGGTGCCTGGGTGGCTCAGCTGGTTGAGCATCTGACTCTTGATTTTGGCTTAGGTCACAATTTCATGGTTTGTGAGATCGGGCCCCATGTTGGGCCCCTCAATAATAGCATGGAGCCTGCTTGGAATTCATTCTCTCTCTCTCTCTCTCAAAATAAATAAACTTTATAAATAAGTAAAGAAATGAAGAAAAATAAAAATGGGCAAAAGGATCTGAATAGACATTTTTCCGAAGAAAAGATATAGTTGGCCAACAAGCACATGAAAAAATCCTCAATATCACTCATCACAAGGGAAATGCAAACCAAAACCCCAATGACATACCACCTCATACCCATGAGGATGGTTACTATAAAACACACAGGAAAATAACAAGAGTTAGTAAGGGCATGAAAAAATTGGAACCTTTGTGCACTGCTAGTGGAAATGTAAAATGGTGTAGCTACTATGGAACACAGTATGGCGGGTCCTCAAACAATTAAAAATAGAATTAGCATATGATATAGCAGTTGAACAGGTATTTGTACACGTTTATAGCCACATTATTCACAATAGCCAAAAGGTTGAAGCAGCCTGTGTCCATCAAGAGATGAATGAACAAAATGTGGTATTTATATACAATGGAGTATTTTTCAGCCTTAAAATGAAAGGAAATTCTGACATCTGCTACAACATGGATGAACCTTGAGGACATTATAGTCAGGGTTATCCAGAGAGATTCAATAGGATGCATATAGCAAAAGATTTATTTTAAGGAATTGGCTCACAAAGTGGAGGCTTTGCAGGCCCAAAATCTGGTGAGGTAAGCCAGCAGGCAGACTGGAGACTCAGGGAAGAGTTGCAGTTCAAGTACAGAATCTCTTGCTCTGGGAATCCGTTGTTCTGTTAAGGCCTTCACCTGATTACATGCATTATGGAGAATAATCTTCTCTACTCAAAGTCCACTGATTTAAATGCTAATCTCATCTAAAAACCACCTTCACAGAAACATCCAGAATAATGTTTAATCAAATATTTTGGAACCATGGTCCATCCAAGTTGACACATAAAATTAACCATCATATCATGATAAGTGAAGTAAGCCAGTCACAAAAAGACAAATACTGTATGATTCCACTTAAAGGAGGTACCTAGAGTAGTCAAATTCATAGAGACAGAAAGTAGAATGGAAATTACCAGGGACTGAGTCAAGTGGGAAATTGGGAATTGTTGTTTACTGGGTATAGAGTTTCAGTTTTATGAGAGGAAGAGAGTTCTGGACATTGGTTGCCAACAAAGTCAACATACTTGACACTAAACCATACACTTAAAAATGGTTAATATGGTTAATCTTATGTTATATATATTTTACCACACATTTTTTAAAGAGAAGAAAACAGCAGGGAATGACCTTTAAGAAATGGCCACATTTGGGGGAAAGGAAGGTGAGAGATTGATTAACTAGAGGAGTAGAATGCAAATTAGGGCCACCACGGAGCCAAAAGAGAAAATTATCAAAAATATTGGATACAGCAAGGTCAAGAAGGACAATAATTAGAAGGAAATTCCCTGGCAACTTAATAAGGGAGAGTCAGTACAGTAGTTTGAACAAAATCACTTTGCAAGGGTTAAGAAAAGTCTAAATGATGAGAAGGCTGGAGGAGCAGAAGTGCTCCACCCGTTCAAAGAGTCTGGAGGGGCAGAGACAAGGGGGAGATGCGTGCTGGAAGGCAGAAGAAGGGGAAACCATGCAAAGGAAGACAGGGGGTGCTGATGTAAGGACCAAGTGAAAGGGCAACTCTTCCCTCTGCCATTGACCAGCTTCCTCTGCCAGGTAGCCTGATTTGGGCAAGATCTCCCCCAAATACAAGACTAAGGGCCCTACAGAATCCTGATACAGACAAGGCAGCTGTCTTAGTACAGAATTGGCAGCCAGGGAGTGGTGGCAAGAATTAGAGATCATGACAGGGTTGGGGGTATCCTGAGAAGTCCAAGTTTGAAGGAAATTGCAGTGAAAGTCAGAAAGCCAAAAACAGAACAAAAAGGTAGGCCAAAGGCCAGTGGGACAAATGCCAATACACAAAGCAGGGAAAGTCTCAGTGCTTGGGTTCAGAAGCTAAGTCAGAGTAGTGTTTCTCCTTTAAAGTTTAGTTCTTCTGCCAACTCTCACCAACCACACCTATGTCATCCCAAATTGTTGATGCTGCTCTACTCATTCAGAGGAGACTGCCTAGTGTTAATTAGGGTTCTCCAGGGAAACAACCAATAGGGTGTGTGTGTGTGTGTGTGTGTGTGTGTGTGTGTGTGTGTGTGTGTGTGTGTAGAAAGAGAAAGATTGATTTAAGGAATTGCCAATTATGGAGGCCAGCAAGTCCAATATATGTAGGGTGGCCCATTAGGCTGGAGACACAGGGAAGAGATGTTCCAGTTCAAGTCCAAAGGTCATCTGCTGGTAGAATTCCTTCTAGCTCTCAGGAGGTCAGTTTTGTTTTGTTTTAAGTTTATTTATTTATTTTGAGAGAGAGAGAGAGAGAGAGAGAAAATCCTAAACAGTCTCCATGCCATCAGCATGGAGCCCCTCATAGGGCTCAGTCTCACAAACCATGAGATCATGACCTGAGCCAAAATCAAGAGTCAGATACTTAACCAACTGAGCCACCCAGGCATCCCAGGAATTTATTCTGTTCAGGTCTTCAACTGATGGGATGAGGCCCACCCACATTATAGAGGGCAGTCTGATTAACTTATTTACAATTGCAATGTTAATCTCATCCAAAGGCATCCTCATAGAAACATCCAGAATAATGTTTAACCAAATATCTGGGAGCTATGGCTCAACCATGTTGACACATAAAATTAACCATCATACCCAGGTAATAATTATAGCCATTAGTAAACACTTATTTATATACAAAGTACACAGCCATCTCCTTTCAGTCCATAACACCCATAAGGTAAGTTTGATATTCTCATTTTTAAATAGGAGGAAAACAGTTTTAGAAAGATTTTATTGAAAAGTTCATAAAATTCAGAAGCAATCAAAACCATTCTCATCATGGTTAACTTCAAAGAAATTAATCAATTTGACCAGAGTGGGAACTAGTTCTTTGGTCTTTCCACATCTTTCAAACTTCAAAGAACCAAGTTCCAATACCTAACTGGCATGACCTTTGTCAAAAAAAAAACAAACAAAAAAAATCATTGCCCTCTTACTTTGTGCCTGGCAAACTGCTAAGCACTTCATATTCATTACCCTCTTTAATCCCTACAGCAATGTTGAAAGTTTAAGTAAATCCATCAAGATTGGGTTTTGCCTGTGACAGAAAACTCAAATAGCATGGGGTAAGACAGATAAAATTTTACCTCTAACCCTCCAACCCTCCAGATAAAGTCTGAAGGTATCCAAACTGGTAAACAGCTCTACCATCATAACTGGCCTAGGTTTTTTCTATCCTTGTGTTCTGCCATCTTCAGTGATCACTTCCTCCTGATGATCTGTGATAGCTATTTAGCTCCAACCATCATGCCTACGTTCCAGTCACCAGGGAGACATGACAAAGATGGATGGGCCCCTGCCCTTGAAGATCATGTCTTGGAAGTCATATATGCTACTTTCTCTTCCACCCACCTGGGTGGGTCAGACCTAGCAGCAAGGCAGGATAGGAAACATATTCATTTTTCTAGGCAACCAAACACACAGTTAAAAAAAAAGAAGGGGAGAAACAATACTGGAGGATCCACAGGCAGTATTATCAAGGCCATTTCTAGATGAGACGTCAGACGCACAGCAGTGAAGTGCAGAGCTCTGAGGTAGGATAAAAGAACTAGTCACTAATAGTGGTTATGTGGGAGAGGGAGCAAGGATTCAAGTCTGGGTTTTAGAGTGATTTTTAAGTGTTGTTTTCTAAGTTAACTTATTTTGAGAGAGAGAAAGAGCATGAGCAGGAGAGAGGTAGAGAGAAGGATAGAGAGAATCCCAAGCAGGATCTGCACTGTCAGCACATAGCCCGATGCAGGGCTCGAACCCATGAAACTGTGAGATCATGACCTGAGCCCAAATCAAGAGCCAGATGTTTAAGTGACTGAGCCACTCAGGCACCCCAAGTGTGTGTGTGTTTTTTTTAATTTAAGTAATCTCTTCACCCTACATGGGGCTTGAATTCACAACTCCAAGGTCAAGAGTCACATGCTCTTTCAACTGAGCCAGCCAGGCACCCCTAGAGTGATTTTTAAAAACAAATTAGAATTGACTCAAACTTATCCCCACAAGAATGTCATTTACTCTGTTGCAATCTGATGTGCTTTTTTAAGTGAGAGAGATGGGGCTGGTGTTACTGCCACTCCACTGTTTACACCCACAACCTACCTTTTTCTGTTCCAACCTGAAATCTGAATGTGCCCATATAAGTGTGTCAAGCCTGGGAATTTCATCCAAGGTGTGAGGCGGTGGGGGGCAAAGGATCAGAAACCAGGGGGTGTGCTGTTCCACCATCCTACTCCTCTTCACTCTCATCATTTGGAATTTTACCTGAAGGTTGAAGGAGATGCAAAGCTGTCCCTGTCACTCAGGTTTATCCCCAATCCCCCAAAACTAGGATGAAAGTCACCTTGTCTTAGGATGAGAAAATAAGTTTTATTGACAAATGTATATGCTGATAGCCAACAATCCCCTAGGGAGAGACACATACTGTGCCTTCTAGGATCAAAACCGCCTCCTTGGGTTTAATCCCAGGTAGCCCATCCAGTTGGAAAAAGGTAGGAGAGCTACTGTGAATCAAAGTACTGTTTATCTGGACAACAAATGGAAAAGGCTTCAGTCCCAGAGCAATTAGGTGCAACTTATTTAGGGGCAGGCCCAGCTTCTGTAGGTGGACTTTCAGATGTTGGGACCTGTGACCATATTATTTATCTGAATTGCCTATTATGAGTGGAGTAGTTTTCACTCTCCTATTGTGCCAGTTGCACAAGGAATTTAGAGGGCCTCGAAGCCAATTCCAGATATTCTTTTTCTGATTGTCATCATCATCTCTTTCCTGTTTGGCAGTCTTAAACAGTCGCTTCTTTCTTTCTGAGGTTTTCATGCCAGTGACTTTGAAGATGTTATTGCTCAGCTGGCTCATCCTGGAAGCAGAGATAGACTCGGGATTAAGATATTCATCAAGGTTTTTCAGGGTAGTAGTGACCAAATACTGGATAGATTCCACAGGATCATTCCTCAGACTTCCAATAGCTGAAACCAGAAAGGAGGTCAACTCAGATTCTCAATCTCCAAGGATGCCATTTTTTTCCACCCCACATGCCAGGTTATTATTCTATAACTTCATTTAGAATAATTTTTGTCGCCGTAAAAGTAATACTTCTTTTACTGTAGAAAAAATGTTTAAATAGAAATCATTTTTTTAAAGGAAAGAAAGAAAAATCACTCACCCCTCGCCCAGAGATAAGACTGTTAATATTTTCGTTCCTATCTTTGCAGTATATATTTTTTAAGTAATCTCTGTGCCCAACATGGGGCTCACACTTATGACCACGAGATCAAGAGTTGCACGCTGTGCTGACTAAGCCAGCCAGTCACGCCAGTAGTATTTTTTTAAATACCCAATATGGACACTTCTTTTTACAAAAATATGATTTACATTTTTTCTTCCCACAAAATATTCTGCTATACACCGTAATATCCAATCACATGATTCTATCATAATTTCTTTGATGAACTCTCTATTAGTGAATAATTAGGTCATTTGCAATTTTTCACTGTTATAAACAATAACTATTAATTCTTTCAACAGCTGTTACTGAGCGCTTACTATCCACTCAGGTGCTAGGGATACAGTGGTGAACAAGAAAGATTCCCCACCCTCAAGAACTTAACATTCTAGTGGAGGAAAGACAAAACAAACAAGCAAATGTAAATGAAGTATGAGGAAGGGAATTTAACAGAGTAATGGCAGTGAATACCTGGGAAGGAGCTCTTTAGATAGGCCAGTCAGGGAATGCCTCTCTGAGAAGGCAACATTTGAGCTGAGAAGGAAGAAGCTACATGAAGAGAAAGGGCAGAAGCACTCCCGAAGGTTGAAGGTTGGGATGGGGGCTTCTATTCACAATGTAGAAAGTAGCCAGTGTAGCTGCACCTTCTAGTGGGGGGGATGGTGCTATAGGCTAAGGGTGGAGAGACAGTCAGAAACCAGATCAGTCAGGGCCTCGTGGCCAAAGGTAAGGGACCAGACTTCGACCTGAAGAACAATGGAAAGCCACTGAAGGGTTTTAAGCAAGGGGCGACATGATTCAATGTACATGTTTCAAAGAGAATCTGGCTTCTGTGTAGAGAAGAGACAGGGGTGGGGGTTGTTAAAATGGTCCAGTTAGGGAATGGCCTACAGGGGGGCTTAGATCCAGGTGGGAACAGAGGGATGGAGACTGGAAATTACTTAGCATGCAAAGAATAAAGAGAATAGGACAGGTGTTGGCTCAAAAGGGCCTTCAAGCCCATCAAAGTCTACTGCTTCATGTTGATCTCATTTGTACTTAGCACAGGCGGAAGAACTGGGCTCAAGCTACACAGTAAATACATAAATCCTGTGAAGAGCCATCTCGTGATCACAAGGTTTGTTAGGCACTAGATATGGGTGTAAATGTAACCGGAATTACTTTTGTTGGGGAAAAAAGTCCCTCCTGTCTGCATCATTTAGGCAGTCTTTCTGAGAGGCTCGCTGGGATGAGGAAGGCAGTTCTCTGCTATGCTGAGGAGTCTAGGGTATTCATTCTAGGTGTACCTTCCCTGACATGCTCCAGTCACTGGGAATAGGGCTCTACTACCCAGTAGAGACCTCAGTTGTAAAAAAAATGAGAAGGCAATAGAGGTACAAAACATTAGGGTCAGAAGCCAGGGTTAGAGCCCTAATGGGACAGATGCTGCTACCTGGTCACTGGGGGGCAGGAGAAGGCATGGCTACTCTTAGCAGCAGCTAACAAACTCATTCTTCCCTGACCCGAACTCTGAGCACCCTCTCTGCCAGCTGCTTCTGGCACCCTGCCTGGCCTCGGTCCAGAAGACTAAGCCAACTCAACACAAAGGTTCTGTGGGACACGTCTGTGCCCAGAAAAGCACAGGTCTTTACATGCATCTGTATCTGATACTTAAACAATGTTTAAGATCAGCACTATTATCCTCACGATACTGATGAAGAAACTGAGGCACAGAGACAGTAACTCGCTCAAATTCACACGGCTCGTTATTGAGAGAGCCAGTATTTGAAACTGGGCTAGCCGACATTGGAGCCTGTGTTTTTCATTACACATTGACTTGGAAGAAAAGACCCTTAAAACTCATTTACCTCACCACTTTTTACTCTCTAGATAAAGAGCAGTGAATAAGCCAGAACGGAAACAAAAACTTGTCTTTCTGCAGTGCCTGCTAGGCATTTCCTCTGAAAGATGAGCCACCATCCCTTTATTTATTTATTTATTTATTTATTTATTTATTTTTATTATTATTATTTTTTTATATTTATTTATTTTTGAGAGACAGAAAGAGACAGAGTGCAAGCAGGGGAGGGGCAGAGAGAGAGGGAGACATAGAATCAGAAGCAGGCTCCAGGCTCTGAGCTGTCAGTACAGAGCCCGACACAGGGCTTGAACCCATGAACCGTGAGACCATGACCTGAGCTGAAATCAGACGCTTAACCGACTGAGCCACCCCGGCACCCCATAGCCACCATCCCTTTAAAAGCAGCATATCCAGAGTATTAGCTCGAAGCAGGTCCCAGGAAGGTAAGTGGGCTCCAACCAGAAGGCAGGTCCCTGAGGACAAGCATGTGCAGCACTAGAACAGTGACAACAGCAAAGCTGTGGTACTCGTGTCAGGCCGTTCTGACACGCACACCCACTCTTGTGTACACAAGGACCCACACACAGGGGCAGGGCTGTAAAAGCCAACATTCTCTCCATCTTGTCTCTGCATCAAAGGAAGCAAACTGTGGCATGGAAGAATTCAAGCATCATTTCCATTTGGCAGTGGAATGAATCACACAGGCACCACTTAGCACAAGCACCCTGAATCCTTCCCACCCCACCCCCCACCTTGGAGGAGTTGAGAACTGTGTTTCCTGAAGTATCCCTACCACCCACAGCAAAGTCCTAAATCCTTACCATGGCGGAAAAGGCTGGCAGGATTCTGGCCCCACTGCTGTTCTCTGAGCTCATCTCCTGTTCTTCCTTTTGCTCATTCCACATGAACGCGCTGACTTCTTGTTCCTCCTTGAACATGCCATGTGCTCTTCCCTCAGCTACTCAGATGGCTCACTCCCTCACTTCCAGGTCTCCGCTCCAATGCCTCTTATCGGTGGGGGCACCCCTGCCCCGCCCTCTGACCCTTGGATCCCTGGTCCTGCCTCACCTTCTCCATAGTGCCTATCTAACACATATGTACTTGGTTAGGGCTCCTCCCCTACCCCACTGGAAGGAGTGCTGTAGCAGGGTGGGGACATCAGTTTTGTTCGCTGCAATTTCCCAGGGCTTAGAAGAATACCTGGTAGACAGCAGGTCTTTAATAATTAAGAAACTAATTTAATTGAGAGCAAGTGCAGAAGTACCTCCTATAGCAAACATAGGTATGGCTGTTTGGCTATTTTAGGGACCAAAGGATTTTGCAGGGGAGGTAAAATTTCTCTTCTGATATACGTTGGGAATCTCAGCTCTTCTTCCTCCACACCCCAACTCCTGTTCCCTCTTTTTCAGGACTTTGATGAAATTAAAGGACAATGGAGTGAGCATTCATTAGTGCAAAGGTCCCTGAATTTGGAGGTACCTGGGTGGCTCAGTCAGTTAAGCGTCTGACTTCGGCTCAGGTCATGATCTCACAGCTCACGGGATTGAGCCCTGCATGGAGCTCCATGCTGACAGCGTGAAGCCTGCTTCAGATTCTCTCTCTCTCCTTCTCTCTCTACCCCTCCATTTCTCTCTCTCAAAATAAATAAATAAATAAACTTAAAAAAAAAAAAAGTTCCCTGAATTGGAAATTCTAGCTCTGGCTCTCCCAGTAATTCACTTCTATGATCGTGGACAAATGACTCAGCCTCTGAAATTAGGAGGGTTAGAGACTGGGACTAGGAAACACTTCTCTGAAGTACCCCTAACTTCAGAGGCAGAAGAGAATAAATGCGTAGCCTCAAGGGTCTGGATGAATTACCTCAAATCTCATATACTCCACAAATCTTTAGAACCTCTTTATCTTAAAATTCATGTATAATTTGCATTCTACTCCAAAACATGTCTATTATTAAAACAGTTGTTTAATGTTTTAATTTTTAAAAGAGTATCATTTAGAAATATATACTAAAATATTTATAGATGAATAATATGAAGTCTAAGGTTTGGCTCAGAATAAGCTGGCAGGGAGGGGTGTAGGTAGAGAAACAGAGGAAACAAGGTAACCATGAGTTGATACTTGTTGAAGCTGGGGGACAGGGTTGGAGGGTTTATTATACTATTTGCTAGATTTTTTTTTAATGTTTAGCTATTTTTGAGAGAGCAGGTGGGGAAAGGGCAGAGAGAGAGAGGGGGACAGAGGATCAAAAGCCGGCTCCGTGCAGGGTTCAAACTCACAAACTGGGAGATTATGACCTAAGCCAAAGTCAGATGCTTAACCAACAGAGCCACTCAGGTCCCCTATTTGCTATGCTAAAAACTAAAAGAAAAATCTTAAATTAGCTGGAGAAAAGGGATAGATTAACCTGCAAAGGAACAAAAATTAATGACAGCAGGCTCCTTTTAGCAGCAAAGAAAGCCAGAAGACAGTAGTATATCTTCAAAGTGCTGAGAAATAAACTGTTGGTCTCGAATTGTGTCACTATTAGGGGCACCTGGCTGGCTAAATCAGGGGAGTATGTGGCTCTTGATCTCCGGGTTGTGGGTTCGAGTTGCACATTGGATATAGAGATTACTTTTAAAAAATAAAATTGTTAATTAAAAAAAAAGAATTGTGCCACTAGTAAAGCTACCTTGCAAGAATGGTGATAAGAAAAAGTCATTACAAACAAGCAAAATCCAAGAGAGCATAACATCAAGATACTAGCACTAAAGAAACTTCTAAAAAGTGTACTTCAGGATGAAAAAAATGAAGGATGGTTAGAGATAGAGAAAGGAATGGAGAGCATATAACGCTGCAGTAATTCCTCACTGTTCGTATAATGTAACAACAAGAATCATAGTATCTAAGTTCTGGGTTATAAAAAAAAGGAACTAAAATATTCAGTAACAAAAGCCTGTAAATTGGGAGGGGTGGTAATTGGAACTCATGTCAACACAGGAAGGAAGGTTAAAATGTTTTACTCTAAACCCTGTTAAGCTCAATATGCATGATAAAAGCCTACTCTCTGGTATCCAGCCCGGAGAAACACTTACACCTGTATACAAGGAGACATATGTGTATACACACACACATACACACACACACACACACACACACACACACACACACACATATATATCTGTTGCAGAAAGTTATATATATATATATATACATACATATGTATGTATGCATATATATATAACATTGTATATCCTATAATATATTACAGTATATATTATATGTTACATAACATATATATTCTATGTGTACACAGCAAAAGCATAGAAGACTACATAACAAACAGGGGAAGAGGGTAGAGGAGCCAGACTTGAGGGTGAATAGAACTTTACCCCCCAAAAAAGAACTTTACCCTTATCAATAATGTTCCCCCTTTTTTTTTTTTTTTTTGCAAACAGACTACATTCATGCATTTCTTCTGTAAGTAAAAATTAACTTTAAAATATTTTTACTGCAATAAAAAAGAGCACAAAACTGCAAGTTCTTTAGGGGGCAGGGGGTGTCTCCCTTGAACACCACTGTAGCATCAGCAACTGACAGCACATGATAAATTTTGAGGGACTAGAACATTTTGGTTAGCCTTGTTTTTCTCTAAGCAGCAACACAATGGATAACTTGTTTTCTTCCTCCTACTTCTCCCCATTTTCTCCTTGTCCATATAACATTTATAGTGGTAAAGACATACTTTATTTAAAGTAACAAAACATGTCCTTAAGGGATTCTCCTTTCTGTCTTGTCCCACGCCTTGTGGTACCCAGAACCCAGGTACAAGGCCCGGACTCACCATTCTGTAACAGCTCCACATCATCCTCATGAATTTGTTTCATTGTTAACCTCTTAATTGTTAATCCTAAGGATAGGACAGATGTAAAGTCCTTTCAGAATTCCAGACCTTTGGGCCACCCTTTCCCCCACTCTAGCGAACAAGGAAGTGTGTAAACCAGTTCTAGCAAGAAATGTTTCTCCAAGATTCCCTATGGCCCACGTGTCAGTATTCTAGTGAAACAGCAATGCTCAGAGCAGCTGTGACCCAGGAAAATGTTGTTGGCAGATGACAAGTAGGGCATGAATCCAGGGTGTCAAACTCCATGGGGTTCCCACACCAATTGGAAAATAAACAAAGGGCATGAGGCAACTAACTAATCTGCAAAAATAAAATATGCATTGTCAGTAAACATGGGAAAAATGTTTAATCTCACTACTGGTAAAAAAATATATATTAATCAGAACAACAGCAAGCTACTCTTTTCACCTATCAAATTGGTAATGTACGTTAAAGTACTACCCAGGGTTAGCAAATATCTGCAACATGGATACATACATGCAGTACTGGTAACAATGGGAAATGATTGCAACTTTTTAGACGGCAGTTTAAGCACCAAAATCCTTAAAATTGTGCCTACCCTTTGGGCCCAGCAATTCTACTTATTAAGAAATTTATCTTGGGGCGCCTGGACGGCTCAGTCCATTGAGCATCCAACTTCAGCTCAGATCATAATCTCACACTTCTTGGGTTTGAGCCCCGTGTCCTGCTCTGTGCTGACAGCTCAGAGCCTGAAGCCTGCTTCAGATTCTGTGTCTCCCTCTCTTTCTTCCTGCCCCTCACCTGCTCGTGCTTTCTCTCTCTCAAAAACAAACATTAAGAAAAAAAATTTTTGGAAGAAATTTATCCTAAAATAATCATGATGGCATGTAGGGATTTAAGCACTGTCTCTCTGCTTATAAAAACAAAAGATGACACAGTCTCAATATTCAAAAATATGAACTGGTTAAATAGTTTCATAAATCTACCTGTAAAATGGAATTAATATTATGCAGTGATTTAAAAAAAATGTTGAAGGGTATGTAATGGCATGTATTTGTGATAGGCAAGGGAAAAAACAGTATACCAAACTTCATGGTTTTTAAAATGGCTGTGTGTGTGTGTGTGTGTGTGTGTGTGTGTGTGTGTGTGTGTAGTATATTCTTAGGGGAAAATTCCAGAATGTTAGCAGTGGTTAAATCCAAATGGTAGAATTTCTGGCATTATTTATCTTCTTCTTTTTTGCCAATCTGAATTTTTTTAAGTTTTCTAACACAAACACACACTGTACTGCTATTATAATTTGAAACAAAAATATTTTTGAAAATCCATGGGGTTCCAGTGGAAGCAATAGTTGTTTCCTTTTCAAACATGTATGGTTCTTTTCCCCACAAAGCAGAGTGCAGTCAGTGTGAGTGGACCCACACAGAGTGAGGCAAAGGCACAGAGCCTTCTCTTCTTCCTCCAGCCTTTCTAACATGGATTTCTTTTCATGCTTATTTATTTATTTATTTATTTTGAGAGAGAGAGAGAGAGCCGGTGAACTGTGGAGAGGAAGAGAGAGAGGGAGAGAGAGAATCCCAAGCAGGTTCTGTTCTGTCAGTACAGAGCCAACATGAGGCTCTATCTCACAAAGAGTGAGATCAGGGCCTGAGCCCAAATCAAGATTCAGATGCTCAACTGACTGAGCCACCCAGGTGCCCCTCTAACATGGACTTTGAGCCTGGGTCACAGGACAGCCTCTCTAATCAGGTCAGAGCTAGGAAAGGAAGTGACCTGTTTCACAGTACCATGGTTCTGGCTTAGCCCTTGTGGAAGGTCAAGGAGGGTCCCTTGCTGAAGACAAGAGGAAAAAGCTGCCAGGAGGAAGCATCTTACCTATGAAGTTGATGGCAGCTTCCCGTAGGAAGGACTGAGGGCTCGTCAGGAAGTCGAAGCTCTGGGACAGAAACTCCCCCACAAGCTGTATTTTTTTTGTGCCCACCTGCGGAGCCAAAGAGGGGTGGTGCTGACCAGGAGCCTGGGGGGGGGGGGGGCGGCGCCTGGGAGCACCACTAGAGGTCCCCTCAACCCCTTCACCCTGTCCACAAGCAGCACTGTTCTGTCTTCAGTCAGCTGAAAGAGCTTCAATGTGGAACCTCAGAGATCCCTACCCCAGTGACAGGGCAGACTTAGCAGGAAGTTCATAAAGAGGATTTTGCTGCTTCACACCAACATGATAAGGGGAAACACAACTGGTGTGGAGCCAGGAGACCCAGGGCTGAATACTGACTCTGACACTGGCTCCAGTTTTCTTTTCTTTTTTTTTTTTAATAGAATTTGTTGGCCAGTTGGCTAACGTACAGTGTGTAGTGTGCTCTTGGTTTTGGGGGTAGATTCCCGTGATTCATCCCTTACATACAACACCCAGTGCTCATCCCAACAAGTGCCCTCCTCAATGCCCATCACCAACTTTCCCCTCTTCCCCACCCCCCCATCAACTCTCAGTTTGTCCTCTGTATTTAAGAATCTCTTATGGTTTGCCACCCTCTCTGTTTTAAACTATTTTTTCCCCTTCCCTTCCCCCATGGTCTTCTGTTAAGTTTCTCAAGTTCCACATATGAATGAAAACATATGGTATCTGTCTTTCTCTGACTAACTTATTTCACTTAGTATAATACCCTCCAGTTCCATCCATGTTGTTGCAAATGGCCCGATTTCATTCTTTCTCATTGCCAAGTAGTATTCCATTGTATTATACCCCATCTTCTTTATCCATTCATCAGTTGATGGACATTTGGGCTTTTTCCATGATTTGGCTATTGTTGAAAATGCTGCTATAAACATTGGGGTACATGTGCCCCTATGCATCACCACTCCTGTATCCCTTAGGTAAATTCCTAGCAGTGCTATTGCTGGGTCATAGGGTAGATCTATTTTTAACTTTTTGAGGAATCTCCACACTGTTTTCCAAAGTGGCTGCAACATCACTCATCATCAGGGAAATACAAATCAAAACCACATTGAGATACCACCTCACACCAGTCAGAGTGGCTAAAATTAACTCAGGAAACAACAGATGCTGGTGAGGATGTAGAGAAACGGGAACCCTCTTGGTGGGAATGCAAACTGGCTTCGGTTTTCTGATCTTTAAGAGTGGATATATAAGACCTGCCCATCCTTCCCAGAATTGCAAGGCTCCAGTGGGATAATTGATATAAAAGTGCTTTGTAAACCTAAAGTGGTCTACCTGTGTAAGGCAATAAGCACCCAAGTCCATAATATTAAAATTACTAATGTTAATTCCTAATCTACTTGCTTAGCCCTTAAATACTTACTTTTCAACAAGGATTCCTGACCTCATCCCTATTCTTGACTTTGTAGGAGCCACAGACCCTAACACCATGACCACTAAAGCCCTGATGACTCCTGCCTGCATCTCTTCCTGCCAAGTGTCACCAGAAAACCTCTGCCCCATTGCCATCTAGTACCCTCACATGACCTCCCTAGCCTCTGAAAGCAGACACTGGGATGCTAAGAGAATCAAATATGAAGAACCAAGGACTGGCCTCCCAAATGTGTGTTCTCAGATTTTGCTGATGGTAAAGAATGAGAATTGAGGAAGAAAGAATGTATCTTCTGTCAGCCCTCCTCTCCTTAGCCTCTTAGCCTGCCTTTGGGTTCCTGACATGAGTATTGTGGCCTGGCTTCTCAGAGACTCTCACTCACCAGGTACTTGCACGTTTCTTCCAATACCTGGATGTGATCACTGAGGGTGGTGTGCTGGAATGTCTGTGTGAGTGATGACCAGCCAATCACCTTAGTCCACTCAGTCAGGGCCCCTCCACAGGCCTATGGGATGGAGAGAAGGGGATCCCCAAAGCCTCACTCCTATGGCTCTGTGGAGCCAGGGCAGGAGGCTAAGTGGAAGACCATGAAGGTAGCCCCCAGGGGGCTCAGTTGAGGGTTTGGAGCTGGAATCAGGTAAAACGCGGGACCTTGTTCAGGACGTGGGACATAAATAGCTTCAGGGAGCAGAACCATATCAGGATGAGATCAATAGCACCCAAAAGAGAGGGTAAAAGTGCTCAGAGCCAGCCCCGAGGATGACACCAAAGATGTGGACAGGAAATGTACAGCCAAGGCTGGGCTCATGAAATAGAGTCAAAGGGAAGGGGGCTCTGCTCTAGCAAAAAAAGGAGGGGTGGGAATCTGCCAGGACAAAGGTCGCCAGTACCTTGACTACCTCGGTGTTATTATCCTGAATGCTAAGCAGCAGCGGGACTAGAAAACTGTAGATCTCTCTTCGGGTGATGGCTCCCGGCTTGAATTTGTGAACTCGATGCAGCATGTGGCCCAGGGCAGAGGTGGCCGAGATCTTCACCAGGTCCCTCTCCTGCCACGAAGAGCAAAACGGAGATGGGCGGCTGTGCTTTCCCTCTGGCCCTGCCTGACCTGGCTCCCTACTCCCACATCTGATTTCCACGTCCAAAGTACCCTGATGGCACTGTGTTTACCATGTAAAGGCAACACGGTTTGTGTATCTGAGTAATTCTCTTAGAGTCCAGAGCTAGTAAGTCCCTCTGTTAAGGCACAGGCTTAGAGAAGCCAAGATCATAGTTTCAGTTCTGCCCTGGGTCACAATGACAGCTTAATTTCTCTTCTAAGGATTTAGCTAAGGATTTTGCTAAAATTTTCGCCAAATTTTTAAAAATACCTATAGCTATCCTAGTTATACTGTGAATAAAATTGTTTAAATCGATATTAGCTTGTACTAATTAACAACGGTCATAAACAGCTAAACTGTACACTTTCAAGAGTATATTCTATGTTAATTGAACAAATGCTTATTGGGTAGCTCTCAGGAGCTAGGCATAGCACCAAATAACAGAGATGTGGTGGGACAAAACAGATAGTCCCTGAACTTGTAGGGTTTGGGAAGCAGACATTTTAACAAAATAGATATACATGTTGTTATTTTTTGCACAGTGAACATAATAACGAAACAGATGATTCAGTGTTAGTACTTTAACTAAAAAGTATCACAGGCAGTTTGGCTCAAGATCAGTGATTGAGTACTGCTTCACTTATCCCTTCCTGCCCCAAATCCCTGAAAGAAATAGTAGAGACACGTCTCTTTAAATCCATAATGGTTCTGAAATAGTAGATGGGATCCTCCCTGACAGAGGACTAGAATGTCCCTGAAAGACACACAGCAAACAGGGTTGGAATTAAAGTTGAAACCACAGCCCAAAGTGTGGGCAAGAACAGACTGCTGGAGGAGGTGGGCATGTTCTGGGAATGCTCCAAGCTTAACAGCTCTCAATGTGAGGAGCAGAAGCGGATGCTGGGCAACTGACAGGGTGGTCATTTGGAGAGGGGTAGTCCAGGGGCACAGCACAGTGTCTCCTTCCGTGCTGCCCTCCCAGTATCCTCCTTGCTAAATAGCAAGCAGGAGGGAGACACACCACCCCCACAGAGCAGGGAGTGTGCTATCTCGACCAGAGAGAGGGGATGGGGCCCTGCGAGTCTGGCAACACCCAGGAAGAACAGGGAATCCCACAGTCAAAGACTGGCTATTGGTGCATCCTACTGGCCACATATCCCTGGACACGTCCCACAGTTACTGAAGCCAGGCTGCAGTCATAGGTATTACTTTCACAGAGGGCTGGCCAAGAGTCAGTAGTGTAAACTTTCCAGAACTCACCACCAAGACTCACCAAATGTTCAGGAAAACCAGGACCACAAGAGAAACAAACAAAAACCTGCACCACCCGAGGATACAATTAATAATACAATGTAGGGGCGCCTGGGTGGCTCAGTCGGTTGGGCGTCCGACTTCGGCTCAGGTCACAATTTCACTGTCCGTGAGTTCGAGCCCCACGCCGGGCTCTGTGCTGACTGCTCAGAGCCTGGAGCCTGTTTCAGATTCTGTGTCTCCCTCTCTCTCTGCTCCTCCCCCGTTCGTGCTCTGTCTCTGTCTCAAAAATAAATAAACGTTAAAATAAATAAATAAATAAATAAATAATACAATGTAAACAAAACCTTAGAGACAGTATAATTGAATCATCCAGAAGATTTTGTAATATCTATCTATATCTATCTATAGATAGTTTGAAATTATAAATAAATGAGTAAATAAACTTTGAAATTATAAATAAATGAGTAAATAAATAAATACAGGCAAAAGTAAGGTAGTGTCTCTATAGAATAATGTAATAGCTATTCAGATACCACACCATCAACTAGAAGAGAAAAATAAAGAGGAAGGACCTGCTTCATAAAAAAATATTAAATAAAAATTCAATAGGTGGGTTGGATAGCAGAATAACCACAGCCAAAGTGTGAGTTAGTAAGAGGAGAATCAGCCCAGAAATTCTTCCAAGGTGAACAAAGAGATGGGAAATATGAAAGAAAAATGAAGAAACACGGAGAATAAATCTAAAGAAATTGCAAAGGACAGAACAGAAAGAAGAGAAAAAAAGAGGATATAGCAACAAAATAATAGAAGAAAATTTTACAAATGGTAAAACAACAGAGATTTACCTAAGTTCCTCTGGCTAAGTGAATCATAAAAGCAGCACCAGGAACCCAGATCCTATGACCCGAGGGTCAGTGTTCTTTTCATTCTGGCAGGTTGTCATTATGTACATGATAACCATTTACTATTTCTTGATTAGACCATAAATCTCAACTTTCCATTCTAGCAATATGGGAGAAAAGATAACCTGATAACTTTACCACTATAAATGCCTTTAAATGCTAGATAATAAATACCCCCAAAATTTTTAAAATTTTTTTTAATGTTTATTTATTTTTTCAGAGAGAGAGAGAGAGAGAGAGAGAGAGCGAGCATGAGTGGGGGAGGGGCAGAGAGAGAGGGAGACCCAGAATTCGAAGCAGGCTCCAGGCTCTGAGCTGTCAGCACAGAGCCCAACGTGGGGCTCGAACTCAGGAACTGCGAGATCATGACCTGAGCTGAAGTCAGACGCTCAGCTGACTGAGCCACCCAGGTGCCCCTACCCCCCCTAAATTTTTTAATGTATAGCTAAGCTTTAAGGAAGTAAGAGAGATTCCCAGAAGCCAAAGATGAAGAGGTTCCTGACGCTCCAGCTACTGTGGGGGTAGGAGGATGCCACCAGTCTCAATAGCTGAGGGGCACATCTGTTCATACCAGCTGGTCTCCCTGGCTGGCCCACAAGGAAACCAGAAACTGGGAAGCAAGCACCCTGGGCAGACAGCTCCAAGAGAAGCCCTCTACTTAATGCACGGAGTTTCTTTTTCTTCCCTTGATTCTCTCATGTCACAGTTCCAAAACAAGCCCCATGGGAGTCTATAGGAGCCAAAACTCTGAGGGAGGGGAAGCTTACTCTCCATCTGAAGGAGCTGAGACCCCAAGAGGATGGATAAGCCCCCATTGCTTTATTTCCTCTGCCATCATGCCACTTGGCCCCGTTGTGGGCACATAGAGGTGCCTGGCACTGCAGAGTAACTAAAGTACCAGCTTTCTTGTGAGACAACTGGAAAAAGGGAGCCCCAAAGAACTGTAAAACCAGGGAGGTCACAGAGAGGGAGGAGCTAGGGAGAGTGACCCTATAAAGTTGTTTATGAACTCCTGAGTTCACTCCATGCATAGTTCTGACCCTAAACCATATACCATAGACTTTGAAAACTGAACTACAGGACAGACAACAGTCCAGGTCCCAGGCTGAGATGTGAAATGGATTGGTATTGGTGTAGGCAGTTCAGATTCCTGAGCCTTTGAGTCCTTTTGACAAGGTTCCTAGCATTCTAAGGTTCCTGTGTTATCTGGGAGAAGGGTAAAGTTGTGACTTGTCTCCCCACACTTCACTCCAGAACCAATTTCATAGCAGGGTGCCATTTTTTTTTTCTCCTTCAGTGGCTCCTGGTGAGAGAATGGGTAGATAACTGTGTGCTAGGTCTGTCTGTAATGGAGAATGCACTGGAGACAACCCTATGCATGGCTTCAGGTAGCCAAGTATCCTTTTGCTACCCCTTGGTGACTTCAGCCTTCTGCCACAGTCCCACAGCCCTGCCCCAGTACCCTCCGCTCAGTTTCCAGGGCTCATCCTCAGTCCCAGCCCATACTGTTTCCAACTGATCCTAGGAACTTTGGCCCGTACATCATTGATGAGTGGACGCAGCTGCTTGGAGATGCTGCAAAATACCACCTTGGTGTTCTGTTGCTTCCCAAAGCAGATGATGTTCCGTAGGCTCTTTACTGCCTGCATTGTCACTCGTGCCTCATTCTTCAGGAAGTCTCGCAAGAATGGAACCTGGCTCTTCAGAGATTCTGACTATTTGGAAGAAGGCAGAGATCACTCACCACCTGAGGATCCTGCAACACCCTAGGGACAGGATTTTTAGAAAACAGTGCCTAAGAGGAACAGACATGGGGAATCTGAGGGCCAGATGTGCCCAGGAAGTAGAAGGCTGGTGTTCACAGGGTTTAGGAGGTCTGATGGCCAGTCTACGTAAGTCTACAAACTGGATGTTGTGCTGTCCTTGGATGAGAGGTTGGGGAATGTACTATGCCCTGGGTAACTAAGAGAACCAAGAGGTAAGCCCAATTCTTCAGGGAGTAGCACTCGATTCCCATTTGGTCCTCCCCACTCTTACTTGTCCTGGGTGCAATGCAAGGTTACTGATTCCACGGAGCCCAACTTCTTTCATAATGATGTTGGGCTCGTTGGTCCACTTGATTAGATTGCCCAAAAAGTCTTGCCCCACAGTCTGAGCCACTGATCGGTGCCAGAGCAGCTGTGGGTATGAGGAGACACAGCTATGGATGGAGAAAAGGTTATAAGTACCCAGTACTCCCTCAGTCCTCCCTTAGATCCCATACTCAGGTAATGTGTGTGTCCAGTTGAGCACAGTGGTAGATCTGTATACACGGGGTGGAGACTAAGTTTAGGAGGTAGAGGATAATGCTGAAAAGGTTTGAAGTTTGAGTCAAGTGCTAGGATCCATGGATCATTCTGGAGCACAAGCCGCTGGCCCCCTCCTCAGGCTTTCCTGCCTCCTTTAACCAGGCACCTGAAGTGCCAGAGAAGGGACCCCACTTTAAATGACTTAAGATTATCCTTTCTCTTTCTGGGGCTAGTTATTTAACATTTCTGTTAAATGTTCCTCAGCCCAGGATATGAATGGCTCAGGCTGTGGACCTTTCCCCACGCTTCACCTGTGCATAGAAAGTCCTGGCCAGAATCCTCCTGTGATAGTTGGAGCTATAGAGGATGTTCCTGATGAGGTTGAGGATTCGATGCAGGATGGCAGGTTCACAGTTCTTCACAATGCCACTGGGGTGGGACACAGGAAGCCAAGAGTTGCTGGGGGGGGGGGGGGGCCGCCCGGGGGGCAAGGGACCAGCATGCATGGAACAGGGAAGACACGAAGGCAGGAGACCAAAGGATTGGGAGGTGGGGAAGGGGCCACTAAAGGCTGGCACTAGAGCAGTACCAGGGTTACTGGGGAAATAGCCTCACCTTGTCAGGTCCATGATCCCTATGTAGTAAAACTTGGGGCTGGACAGAAGGTCCCAGCAGTGATGCTGATTTGCATAGACCACCACTCCTTCATATGCAGCTGCCACGAACACCAGCTTCACTACCTCCAAGGCACAACTGAAGGTCACCACCATTGGGTGTGTGAAAAGAAAGGGAGAGAAGGATGAACAAGGCATTATGCCCCGGTCTGCATCCTGTGCTTGCAAACCAGGAGACAGTTTCCTGCTTGGGTAGCTGGGTTCTCCTTTCCTGCTGACAAGAATCAATGGCTCTGTGAAAGCCATTTCCAAATGCCCATCCACTCCCTCAACTCTGGCCCTCATCTAACCACAGAGTCCTATGAAAGAGACTATAGAGATATCTGAGTGCTATGGTTTTCCAATTCTGCTCTCTGGGGCACAGAATGGGGTTAGGATATCTCTTCAACTCCACACCCACCTAATCAGTATGTGGTTTTATTTGGTTTTGGTTTTATTTGTTCTCATTTTATATAAGATTCCATATGGATAGAATGTCCTGAGGTTTAAAAGAGAAAAAAAAGCATGACAACCACGTATTTAGGAGTCCAGCCCCCATTTTTGAAATGAGAAAACAGAACTCCCAGTTGTGACTTGTGCAAGACAGCAAAGCTAGTGACAAAGCCAAGTCAAAGGTCATCCAGATTCAAATGCCACAACAGCATGGAGAGAATGACAAAGATGCGGGCTTGCCCTACCACCTACCATCTAGTTGAATCTCTTCATGGGCAGTTATGAATATGGACATGAACTACTGAGTGAATCAGCTGAAGAATGCATACAAGAAGATGATAAATGAGAAGCTTGAAAATATGTGAGAATATTCTAGCACATGTGACCACAGTACGCACACCCGTATTCTGTCTCCGCTCTTCTGTTCTCTTCCTTGGCATTCCTAGGGGGCCAGCATCCAGTTGTCCAGGGCCCTCTGGAATGGACTAGTCCCAGCTGTCTGTCACAAGGCTGTTGGGCTTACCTAGTAGGATCAAAGGGCTTGCTTTTGTGGCCTGGGCCCTCCTCCCTGTTGTAGACCACCATCTTCTGGGGGACGTTTTGTTCAATCACCCAGTAGAGATGATGCAGTATAGCCAGCAACAGCCGGGGGTAGAGCTCCTGGACAGCCTCCTGGCACAGGGACCCTGACAGCATCTCACACAAAGCACATGTCACCTGGCAGATGGTGGATGAAGACATAAAATGGTCCCACAGCCCCACACACTGAGTCCCACACCCTGCCCTCCCTATCACTGCCCAAAGGGCACAGCTCACTCTGACTCAGGCTTATAAGAAGCATCTAAGAACTGAAAGCCCACCACTCTTCCCTACGAAAATAAGGGGGCCACACACAGGTAATCTGCTTTCTCTTCACTCTCTTGACATCAAAAACAAAATTGGAAGCAACTCTAACATTTTTAGGAGAAAAGGATTTGGGGAATACTTTGTCCATCCCTGGCAACCAAACCTCTTCTGCCTCTAACCCCCATGCCACACCCCAGGCCCTGGGAAAAGGAGTACCACCCCAGAATCAGGAGACAGAGAAAGCTGCTTAGCTTTAAACATCAGTTTCCTTGTCCATAAAATGGGATCAATCCCTGCTCTCTCTGCAACATGCAGTTCTTAGATATACAGGTACCAAGAGGAGGTACAAGTGTAAATCGAATGTACAGTATTAGTGATTGCTCCTCTAAGACCTGCTCCCACCCTGCAGCTCTTGACCTCCAGCTCTGCCCCCAAGTCCCAGAACAGGAAGTTCTCGGCTCCCCTGCTCCCATGCTGACCGCCACAGGCTGGAAGGCCATCTCCCTAGATTCCTCTCTGGAGTGGAGCTTTTCCAGGATGCCTATGAGCAGCTGCAGGACGCTGATTGTGGTCTCTCGCCGGGTGCCAAATGCCTTCCAAAGGGCCAGATTGGTTCTGCGGGACCAAGGGCAGCTATGTCACAGGCCCTGGTGACCAAGCTCCTAGGATTAGTCTGGTCTTGGGCCTTTGAAGGGCCAGTTCTCAGGGTCTAGACTTGGCCAGAGAACGCAGACAGGAAGTGTGATTGGTGTCAAAGAGAAAGCATCCCAATGCATTGATTTTTGGGCTGGGCTTGGGCTGAGGCAGGGGAGGGTGTACTGGGCTGGAGACTGTGTTCCCGGGCCATGAGAGGGGTACCTGTCCCAAGGCAGGGTCTTGTTGAGCAGCATGGGTACAACCCTGTGGGTGTTGTTGCCAGCCAGCAAGCACATGGCCCGCATTGTCTCCTCCTTCGTGTTGGGCTCCAGCTGTAAGTTGAGCCGTCCCACAATCCCCTCCACAATTTCTTCAATCTATAGGGAAGAGCCAAAAGAGTCTCAGCAAGTGTTTCCTTGCTACCTTCCCCCTTCCTTCCTACCTACCAACTCCCTGACTCAAGGGGCTACTTGCAATCCTGCCAGTGACTCTTAAGGCAGAATTCTAGGGTTCCAGAGGCTGGACCAGCAGGAGTGACAAAAGGAACTCCAGAAGCTGGCGCCAATGTCCACTAGGACAGATGTCTGCCCACAGCCCAAAGTCCAGAGAGTTGCTCCGAGGTTACTCAGGAGACACAAAAGTCTCTGGGAGGGAGACAAAAGCCCTATACACCCTTCAGGGCTTCCTCTCCCCACTGAGATCAACTTGAAACCCCTGAAACTGCAGGAACAGTTGGCATTGGATGTAGGGGTACCATAGACTCTCATCTGGCCCTTAGATTCCTAGTTTATGGCCCGCTGCCAAGTCCGTTTTATTGTAATACCTCAAGGACCCCCTCAGAAGTATCCTTCCATTTCTGGCACCTAGGCCAGGCAAGCCACATAAGTGAGTGAAGGCAATAGGTGTCAGGGGATTCAGAGATAGGAAGGTCTAGAGAGCCCGTGCCATATATAAAAGGGACAGTGGCCACTCAAAGAATTGCCCTATGTGACCTCATTTAAAAGTTTTTCTCAGTGAGGCGGGAAATGTGGATTTTTAGGCAAAACCTTCCTGTTTGTACACATTATCCTGAAAGAAAATGTGCTCAAAGGTCAGTCATTCCATGAGCTTGCTAGTTTGCAATCCACAACCTTACCTTCACAGAAATCTAAGCCCCCTGACCCCCCCCCCCTCCCTGGGAATCAGAGTGAATCCCCCCTTCAATGCTTCCTTGTGCTTCGGCCACTAGGCCCTGCAGCTGCCCACACCACTGCTTGTGGTTGTCTTTCTCTGAAGAACCAGCCCTGAGCTCAGAATTACAGATGTCCGAGTTCAGTGGGACCACAGAGTAAATCCAGCCCAAGCCTACATGTTTGAGGTGAGTGAATTAAGGCCTACGAGGAAAGGGACTTCCCAAGGCCCTTCAGCTGGTTTGGAATAGAGCCAGCAGAGAGCCCCGGCTCCTGGCGTGCGTGACAGAGCTCCCACCACAGCACCACACTACCTTTATCATATCTCTGCCCCGTTCTTTCATGACAGCACTCATCAGCTGGGCTGCTGCCAGAGACACCGTGGCCTTGCTGTCAGTCAGACCCTCCATGGCCGTCAGCACCAGGTGGGTGAGCTGCATCTCGGTGAAGTACTCTGCAAATGCCTGTAAGGGTGGCATCAGGCCGCCTGCACCCAGGGCCTCCTGCTTGAGGTAGCCTGTGCCATCCTTCCTGGTTGGGGTAGGAGGAGAGACCTCCTCTTGGGAACATGATGTGCTTTTGTCCTAGGCCTGTGCTGTCTGCCTAGCTCCTAGAAGACCCTTTCACTGGGAATAGAGTCTTTGGGAATGGGAGGGAGAAAACACTGACCTCAGATGCACCGAGGGGCTCACAGGTCAGGGGCAGAGTGCTGGGAAAGAAGGGCTGAGACCAAGATCCTTAATGACATGTGTTTGAGGCATGGGCTGAGTCTACAAAAAGCATCATTAGTGTGAAGCAAACGCTTCTGGGTGACAGGTAAGAAAGAAGGATTAGGACCCATGATGCTTAAGAGGGAGCATACTGTAGCATGTTGAAAATTTCCCCAAAGTAAAAGTTCACAATCAGCAATGGAATGGGAAAGGGGATGGAATAAAGGAGTCCCACCGCAGGAGTCTAAAATATGATGTAGGTTAGAGGCCCAGGCTCTTCCCAGTTTGTCTCTGGCCCTGCCCTCTCACCTTGGCAATCTCAAAGGTGTTGTTATAGAACACGTTGGCACTATAGACTTCACTCTTGCCCTCTTCTTCCCATAAGCCCTGTTTTTTCCTTTGCATCTCTGAAACAAAGACACCCCACCCCACCCCTCAGACACTCGAAAGGTGTCTTAGGTTCCCCTTAGGTTCCCATCTGCCCAACCCAAACCACCTACTGCACTAAATCAGCTTGGGGAGATGTTTATCCCATGGGGAAGGGGAATGGGCTGTAAGATAAGGAAAGGTGAGAGCTAATATCAAAGGAACCCCCATGTTGCCTGCCTCAGAGCAGAGACAGAATAGGGTCAGAGTATGGTGCTCAGCCAGAGGGGGAGAAACTAATTCAAAAGAACTGTTTCCTGAGTAGCTATTTTGTCCCAAGAGGGTATAGGTAGATGTCTAGGGGCAGGTTCCTCATTGGAAATGAGGTTGCTCAGGTAACTTCCTAGCTCTCACTCTTCCAGAACAGTATGTGGGTGGATGGCCAAACCTAAATGGGAGGCCAGAGCAGAAGTGAAAAGAGGAGATTCTCCCTACGCTTTTGCAGCAGGAGGATACAATAGAGATTGTAGACTGCCTGTGAAGACAGGAAGCAGATGTTGTCCACTGGGTCCTGGCAGCGCATGGCCAGCAGCCTTACCAAGCACCCCAACCGAGAGAACTTGATCTCCACCTGGAGAGGAGGGCAGGAAGTCACAAGTTATCCCAGCCATTCCCTTAGGCTGAGTTGAAACGAGAGGAGGCGGGGATTCAGGAGAGATATGAAAGGAAAGACTAGGTGAGGTTAACGGGAATGAAATTAGACAGGTGGGTTATAGCTATTAAAAACTTGTGGGATCATAGTTTTGGAATGACCTTACACTGTCCCTCTTCTTTGCCCCTCGATATTGTACTCATTGTTCAGGCCTAGCTCAAATGTCTCCTCCTCTATGAAGCTTTCCCTTCACTTACACTTCATTTGTGTTTTGATCTTTTATTCCTCCTAGATTTGGTTTGTACTTTCGTAATCGCCTTCTATTTAAGTTTGTTCTATGCATGCTTCTCTCCCCAGTGGACTATAAGATCCATGAAAATAGAAAAACTGTCTTGGTCATCTATGTATCCACTGTAACGCTTAGCATGGTGCCTGGTGAGTATTCAGTAACTGCTTGTTGAGATAGCTGGAATCAAACTGAACCAAGTGAAATGGAATTGAATTGGTGGACAGGGAAAAAGACAAAGGGAGGAAAGAGAGAAGGTGGGGTGAGGGTGAGTAATTGAGGCTAGGTAATATGTGACCAAGTTTGACATAAGGGTAGAGATGAGGGCCCACGCTCCAGGGCAGGCTTCTGCTCACTCCAAAGTTGTTCCATTTTGCAGTGAAGCCAAGAATACGGGCAGCACACCACATGGCCCGTTCCCTCTCATTGTCGTTCTGGGAATTCAGCCATATGTTCAGATGCTAGAGGAAGAAGAGAATGAAGGGAGAGACCTGTTAAGCTGTATTCTGGAGGGTAGAAATGTAACCTGAACGTGGCTTCTGCACAGGATCAGGACAAGACTTCTGAGAACAGGACTTCTTTTGCTATCAGGCAGGTTATATGTGGCTCTGGCACCAGAAGCCCTCATACCTCCAGCCCCCAATTTACCTTATCTAAGTGCTAGAAACACCCTCATTTAACACCTCCTTTTTTTCAAATTAAATCAGTGGCTCTCAAATTATATTGACTATTATTCATTTCAATGGGGGTCAGTGTCCCCCAGGGTCCCCCAATAATGTTTTCCCAGTCTTCAATAGAAAGAGAACTTGGTAGTAACAAAAAAGAGTCACTATATTCACAGATTCCTAGCTGAATTATGTATAAACTTGCTTGAGAAATATAATTATGGATGATTCCTACTTGAAACATAGTATGTCAGTGTATCACTATTGGTAAATTATGGACCCAAAATACCACCGATCCAAAGACGCATTGTCAATCTACAATAATCAATCTGATATTAATGGAACTAAACAAACAGCAATTTATAACTAAAAAAAAGAAGGGCAACAGATGAAAAATCTACAAGCAATGGAAGAGAATACTGATGCTGCATTGATAAGAAAACAACATTCTTCTTGAAGATTGGAAGAATTCTAGTGGGAGATCTGCAAGTCTTCCTTGCAGCCAGACTCTGATGAAATAGCCCCGTGCCAAGACTGTGGTCTCTAAATACCATTTTTCACTAAGAGGAATCATTGGTCATTGGAGAAACAGTTTATCCCAGGAATGAGACAGGAAATATACAAGATAATATACTGGAGAGCAAGGAAGCCATGAAAGACTATTGGCATTATATTAGAGGGATTCAGGAGCTAACCTGAAGAGGCTCCCATTGACCAAAGAAGGGACAATTTAAGCATCCATAAGAATAATAGTTGTAATTGATCAAAACATATGAAGCATTTAAAAATCCATTTTAGGGGCGCCTGGGTGGCTCAGTCGGTTGAGCGTCCGACTTCGGCTCAGGTTATGATCTTGCAGTCTCTGAGTTTGAGCCCGGTGTTGGGCTCTGTGCTGACAGCTCAGAGCCTGGAGCCTGCTTCGGATTCTGTGTCTCCCTCTCTCTCTGCCCCTCCCCTGCTCATGCTCTGTCTCTCTCTGTCAAAAATAAAATAAACATTAAAAAAAATTTTAATTCATTTTAAATTTATATGATACTAGAGAAATAACCCTCACTAGTTATCTTTGGATGACTAGGAAATAAATACTTACATTACCTTGACAGCTAATGAAGGGAAACCAGCATTTATCTTGTCTTTCCTATATGAGCTATACCTCAAAGTAACCAAACAGCTTATAAAGTCGATTTCTCTTTATAGAAGAATTCCAGGTAAAAATAAACAAGCAATGATAGAATTACAGTGTCATCACTTTGCAAAAATAATAGAAGTATATTGACTCAGTGGACTACTACATAGCAATAAAAAAATGATCTGATGCTACATGTAACAACATGAGTGAATCTCACAGATAAAATGTTGAAGCAAAATGATATAGACAAAAAAAAGTGCATACTATAAAATTTCATTTATGTGAAGTTTAAAGAACAAGCTAATCTATGGTGATAGAAGTCAGAATAGTGGTTATCAGTGGTTATTCACTGGGAGAGGAAACTTTAGGGGGTCTTGGACATGTTCTATATCCTGATCTGATATTTACACAGATACATACATATATATACAAACATATATACATATATACATGTATATATGTATATATGTAAGAATCTAAGTGTACACTTAAGACTTGTACACTTTATCATAGCAAGTGATATCTCAATAACAAGGTCTTTTTTTTATTTTAAAGAATGTCACCAGTTCTCCGCCATTAGTGAATCTAAGCAGTGATCATCAAAAGCTCTAAACACCACAAGACATCATGTGGCTGTTGATAGAAGAAGACAACACTACTTGTGAAGTAATCTTGCCAAAAATTGATCAGGTTCATGATCTAGATCCAACAATTACAATTAGAATATAACAGATTCTAGGTCTCACAATTTATAGCACAGATTTAGACAGAGGAGTTTATTAAGTGGCCCCAAAAAGATGTAATTAGGACAACACAGAATGTGGAAAATTTAGAGAACAAATAACTAGGTTTCTTCAACAAATAAATTTCAAGGAAAAAAAATGATTGAAGGGCAATATATAGATTAAAAGAATTAAGAGACAGGGGCGCATGGTGGCTCAGTCAGTTAAGTGTCCAACTTCGGCTCAGGTCATGGTCTCATGCGGTTCATGGGTTCCAGCCCCATGTTGGGCTCTGTGCTGACAGTGTGGAGCCTGGAGCCTAGAGCCTGCTTCAGATTCTGTGTCTCCCTCTCTCTCTCTCTTAAAAATAAACATTAAAAAAAATAAGAGAGACAAACCAACTGATTGGGATGTGTGAATGTTTAATGACACCAAGAAATGAAATTACTTTCTTTCATCAGTGTTTTATAGTTTTCAGAGTACAGGCCTTTCACCTCCTTGGTTACATTTTTCCCTAAACATTTTATTATTTTTACTGCAATTGTAAGTGAGATTGTTTACTTAATTTCTCTTTCTGCTACTTTCTTATTAGTATATAGAAATGCAACTGATTTCTGTATATTAATTTTGCGTCCTGTAATTTTGCTGAATTCATTTATCAGTTCTAGTATTTTATTTTGGTGAGGTCTTTAAGGATTTCCATATATAGTATCATTTCATCTGCAAATAGTGAAAATTTTACTTCTTCCTTCCCAAATTGGATGCTTTTTATTTCTTTTGCCTCTCTGCTGTGGCTAGGACTTCCATACTCTGTTGACTAAAAGTGGTGCGGGTGGATATCCTTGTCTTGTTCCTGATCTTAGAGGGAAAGCTTTCAGTTTGTTACCACGGAGTAATGTTAGCTGTGGATTTTCATGTATGGCCTTTATTATATTGAGGTATGTTCCCTGTAAACCTACTTTGTTGAGAGTTTTTATCATGAATGAGTTTGTGCTTTGTCATATGCTTTTTCTGCATCTATTAAGAGGATCATATGGTTTTATCCTTCCTTTTATAAATTAAATCTTGCCATTTGCAACAACATGGATAGAGCTAGAGAGTATTATGCTAAGTGAAATAAGTAAGTCAGAGAAAGACAAATACTATATGATTTCACTCATATGTGGAATTTTAAAAACCAAATAAACAAAAAGGAAAAAAAAGAGAGAGGGAGGCAAACCAAGAAACACACTGATGGTTACCAGAGGGGAGGTGGATACAGAGATGGATAAAACAGGTGATGAGGATTAAGGAGGCATTTGCTGTGAAGAGCACTGGGTGTTGTATGGAAGTGTTGAATCACTATATTGTACACCTAAAACTGATACTATACTGTGTGTTAACTAATTGGAATTTGTTTTATTTTATTTTACAGTGTATTTATTTATTCTGAGAGAGAGAGAGGGAGAAAAGGGGAGGGGCAGAGAGAAAGAGAATCCCAAGAAGGCTTCTCACTGACAGCGCAGAGCCTGATATGGGGCTTAAACATACAAACTGTGAGATCATGACCTGAGCTGAAACCAAGAGTTGGACGCTTAACTGACTGAACCATCCAGGAGCCCCTAACTGGAACTTAAATAAAAACTTTTAAAAAATTGAAATAAGGGGCACCTGGGTGGCTCAGTTGATTGAATGTCCAACTTCAGCTCAGGTCATGATCTCACGGCTTGTGAGTTCGAGACCCCCATCAGGCTCTGTGCTGACAGTGTGGAGCCTGGAGCCTGCTTCAGATTCTGTGTCTCCCTCTCTCTCTGCCCCTCCCCCACTCACACTCTGTCTCTTTCTCTCTCTCTCACTCAAAAACAAATAAACATTAAAAATAAATAAATAAAAATTTAAAAACTGAAATCAGTCTCCCAGAAATAATATATTCTAATCAGAAGAGCACCCTTTGGGGGCACCTGGGTGGCTCAGTTGGTTAAGCATCCAACTTCGGCCCAAGTCACGATCTCATGGTTTGTGGGTTCGAGCCCAGCATCAGGCTGTGTGCTGACAGCTCAGAGCCTGGAGCCTGCTTCAGATTCTGTGTCTCCCTCTCTCTCTGCCCCTCCCTCGCTCATGCTCTATCTCTTAAAAATAAATAAACATTAAAAAGAAGAAGAACAACAACAACACCCTTTGGAAATTTCAAAGGAGTCCGACCTTGTGGTATATAATAAAAAGGATACAGTGCCTTTCAAACTTATCAAACAAATTGATATTTTTTTCATTTCTTTGAGTTGCTAAGTATCATAGTAACTTTGTAGCTATCCTGCTGGATTACAAACAAAAACTCTGTGTGGTGGAATGGAGGGATGAATTTACACTAAAATGAAGTAGACTCATTCTGATTTATATGTAATGCACTAACGACACCAAAATGGAAGAAGCTAAGTGAATGCCAGTTATTGTTATGCAATTTTATGGCCACTAACAGATGTTTCCATAATGTACTTCTCCAAAGTTCCAACAGGGCACATTCTAAAGAATACATCTTGCATGAATTATCTTTTATATAAATGTGTAATTAGCAAGGTTTAACAATGCATATGATTGAACCCTGCAGCATGATCTGTACTTGGCAATATTGTCAACTCAAATTACTGTGATTCTTGTGATATTAATTAGGTGATAAATAAGCAAAGTGTTGCTAGGGAAAAGAAAGTTTTCTATCCGAAAAAAAAGTAAAATCATGTAAAAAGTATGCCTTAACCATAAAGGAATTAGACCAGAAATCAATAACCACAAGAGAATAGAAAATTCTCCAAACATTTGAAAATAACACGCTTCTAAATAATCCATTGGCCAAAGAAGAAGTTTTGAGAGAGATTACAAAATATTTTGAACTGAAATGATATTGGAGGTATATATTAAAATGTACAGGATGCTGCGAAAGTAGTGCTTAGAGGGAAATTTAGAAAACTGAA